CATCATACTCAGCGACAAACGCCTTCGCTTGATAAGCTGTTTTGCCTTCGCTTGATAAGCTGTTTTGCCCACTCCTCAGAGCTCTCTCGCTCTCTCTCTCTCTCTCTCTCTCTCTCTCTCTCTCTCTCTCTCTCTCTCTCTAATACTCTCTCATGGTTTGAAGAGCCATTATGTTTCATTTCTTGTGTGTTATTTATTTCTCCTCACTGCCAATTTTTACACTAGATTCTTGATCAATTTATAAGTATGCTCGTATGTTCATTTTTTTCTATACTTAAGAAAAAATTTTTGTGAGACAGGGTCTTACTCTATAACTCAGATAGGCTGGCCTTGAACTCATGATAATCTTCCTACCTCAGCTTTCCAAGTGCTGGGATTATAGGTATAAGCCATCACACTCATCTATTTATATATGTTTTGATGAATAATAAATACTTATAAAGAGAATCACTGATATAAGTAGACAAATGCTTAATTTCCAATAGTAAGACATAGTAGTTATACTGAAGCATATTTGTGAGAATATATGATATATGCCGCATATAAATAAAAACATAAAATACTCTCATTAATGTCACATTTCTTTTCATCCCAGAGACCTTGGACAAGAAAACGTCCTTTAAGAATATAATCAGTCAACATAGCTTCAAGAATATAATCAGAAAAGCAGCCACAATTAAGGAACCATAAACAGGTACATACAAACTTGGCAAGGAGCAGTTATTACATTGCTCATTTCCAGAGATGGAATGGTGGATGCAGTTAAGGGCTGAGGGTCTAGCAATGGGGTGCTTAAAGGCTTTGGGACAGTCCCTTGCCCTCCCTATGACAGTTTCCTCTATCTGTAAACCTAGTATGACCTCAAAGGACTGCTGTGTGTATTGTGTGAAATGTGTACATGTATAATGTGTACTAACAGAGTACCAGCACACTGTTAGCATGCAAACATTTATTTGAACAAATTTAAAATTCACATGAAAATGGTGCATTTGCTGACAGAGATGCTACTAGCATTTTTAGTCACTAGTATTTAAGACCGGTATCCATCACAGACCACAGCACAGTGATGGGTGTTTTAATAGGGTTGAATGTGAGCCCCTGGTTTAATACAGTATTTGTTTATGAAGTCAATAAAAACCCAGGGAATCTCTTCTGTGGCTCACCAGGAAACTTTGGCACCTCCTAAGGAGAAGACACCAGATTAACCTGCTACTGGCCTATAATTCTGGGGTAATCCCTAAGTAGCTGTCATCACATCTGTGTTTACAATAACAAAATTCAGTAACAGCCTAGGTTTCAGCAGCCAGGGACTGGTGAGATTTGCTAAGTTATAGAAACCAAATGCTGGCACTGGTTTCCATCTGAGTGATTTTTTTACCCAAATAATAAATTTCACAATATGTATTTAAGGCTAGACATGTTACTATGAGATACATATAGTCAAACAGTTGCTTTAACTTAACTCACATAGTCACACCCCAGCCAGGGGCAGCTATAATACATCTACTCAGTTGGCAAACTTTCTGGGTGTAGCCCACTATTATTAACTATAATCTATATAGTGTACATTAGATCCTTTAGCCCTATGTATCTGCTACATAACCCTTCAGTCACATCACCCCACCCAACAAAATGGTTCCTTCCTTGTTCCTTTTCTCCCTCCTTTCCTCCTTCCCTCCTTCCGCCCCTCCCTCCCTCCCTCCTTCCCTCCTGATGTTGCTGGGGAGCCAATGCAGAGCCTTGCTCACATTAGGTAATAAATGCTCTATTACTGATCACAACCTTACTCTCAGTTTTAAAAACTTAAATCTTCTTCTTTGTATTTTGCATCTGATCAAGTTATTTCATTTTTGGCCACCACAGAGAGACATTGCAGTAAGAATAAAAATTAAAAGTATTAAATACAGTGGTGAACACAAGTCTGAACCATGTTGTGGACTCAAGACTGCTAGAGGCTTTAGTTTTCTAGTATGCAATGGAGGGAGGGTAGTGAGTGATCACAGTCGCTTCTCATTTTTGAAGCCTAAATACTAGACTCCCTGAACTAAGAAAAGAGGATCAAACAACCTCCACAGAGGTTACCACCTCTCCTTCAAGTTTTCAATCATGTCCTGAGCATTTGGAGGTATTATTGAAAGTAAAAATTAAATAAATATTAAACTCTGGTTAAAATACAGAACCACCAGAGTTGGGGTAATGTTTACAATAATGCATATGTTTAAGAAAATCAATGAACCATCAAGGAAAAACATAATCTGTCAAGTGAGACTAAGTCTTTATGAACGATCTAAACCACTGCATCCTACCACTGTCTTGGCTTGCTTTCTGTTGCTGTGATAAGACACTGACTGACCAGAAGCCACATGGAGAGAAGGGATTGCGTGGCTTACAGGTTACAGTCCATTCTTGAGGGATGCTGAGGCAGGCACCTCGGGGGAACAGTGCTGGCTGGCTGGCTCACTATGACTTGCTTGGCCTGCTTTCTAATACAACCCAGAGCCACATTTGATGGGTGGCACCATCTATAGCGGCCTGATACCTCCCACTTCAATCCTTAATCAAGAAAATACCCTGTAAGGGCTGGAGAGATGGCTCAGAGGTTAAGAGCACTGACTGTTCTTCCAGAGGTCTTGTGTTCAATTCCCAGCACCACATGGTGGCTCACAACCATCTATAAAGAGATCTGGTGCCCTCTTCTGGCCTGTAAGCATACAAGCAGACAGAAAACTGTATATATAATAAATAAAAATAAATCTTTAAAAAAAAAGAAGAAGAAGAAGAAGAAGAAAAGAAAATACCCTGTAGACAAGCCCACAGAACAATCCGATGGAGGCAATTCCCCAGTTGAGTTCCCCTCTTTCCACGTGACTCCAGTTTGTGTCAAGTTGATAAAAACTAACGAGCACAACCATTAACTCATTAGCCCATAATATGTTTAGTTCTAGTCATAAAGGAGAATCACAGGAGCTTACTGATTAGCCGAGAATAGACTTACCTTGTCAGATGCATAGACAGCATCAAACAGTCCCAGAAGGGTGACAGCAATTCCTATAGCTGGGCCGTTTACTACTGCAACCAGAGGCTTGGGAAAGTCTATAAAACAGCTTACAAATTCCCTACAGAAGTGGAAACAGGAAAGCATTACACATTTCAAAGTAGCACTACCTGACCATGGAAAGGATTATATAAATTAAAGCTGACATCACCCTAAAGGGTCACCTTCCCAGACTAAACCAAGGTCCTTGTATATGGGGCCTAATGGAAGGTCAGACCAGGACTTCTACAAGCTGAGCCTGATTCACACTCTTTTCTGAGCAGTGAGTTCAGGAGTGTGGGCCAGCTGTGACCTGAGAGACC